TTAAGATCAAATCTCTCATTGACAAATTTCCTACCATATATTTGGTGTGACTGGAACATAAGGGGTGTGGTAGGTTAAATACTGATACTATGGCAATTCTTGTGATTATCTCACCCTGGATTACCTTGATTTTACATTCACATATGATTTGAAAAAGTGTACTAGGTTTGACGGTGCAGCTTCAGTGCTTATTAATTGCATAACTGCTGCAACTGTTCAAGCGATGGGAAATGTTATTTATCAGTTGAATTCTGAAATCAGGCGACTGAAAAATATTCTCGTTTTTGCCACATTCTGGGTTGGAAATGGATTGTTTAGTATGTATATATACCACTGCCCCTAATGGTTATTCTACAGAAAATGAAAGCCTTAGCATGAAATCATAGCCCTATTAAAATCAATTGCAAAATTCCCATTGATTTCAACGGGGCCAGGATTTCACCCATATAGTGAAGTTCTGTTTCTTTGGAAACAAAGGTCCTTACATTCTATCCCCATTTCTTTTTTGCATGGTTTGATGCCTCTCCCTTGTCTCTGAATGGTTTGAGAATGGGTGAGGACAAGGGAGCACAGAGAAGGAAAAGAGCAACAAGGGGGGGGGGTAAGAACAACTGGCATGACCTAAGTTTCCCCAGCCCTCTTACAAAAGTCCTACCCTGGTGGTCCTGCTGCTGAGGGGCAATTTACACCACACACCCAACATGACCTCCTAATGAATTATCTGATCCTACACCCATTTTAGGAACTAGTAAAGCTTCCATTGATTTCAATGGTGTAGGCTCAAGCCCCAAACTGGCAAAATTATACACGTAGGACAAAATAACAAATGACTAGATATTATAAAATCACATAACTCATTCAAAGATTCAATTTCAATTGAACTAGTCATTTATTTTGCTCTTTCCATATTGTGACAATTTGGGAAATCTGTCCATACAATTGATCAATTCTAGTTGATGATGTGAAGTTATGAAATTTCTGTATCATGGACTGCCTCTACGTCCATGTGTATCCACCATTGCTGGCAAGGGTGTGCCGTACGCACCAGACTAGGGGCAATGGAGAGTACTTAACTTTAAAGACTATACTTGGACCAGTCAATACATAGGTTGGGTATAGCTGGGAGAAGCCATTTCCTTCAGCTTATCTGTAGGGGGCTGGCGTTTGGAGAGTTGAAATTCCCCAAGCAGGACAAAGAGACAGAGGTGACAAAGCAGGAGGGAAGATTCAAGGAGCCACACAAGAAATTTTGGGCAGGAGAGGGGAAGGGGATGAACCGGCTAAGGTGAGAGAAGGCATAGTGGGGAGAAACGACTCCAGGTTTCAGAACCCATGTCATGCTCTGCAGCTGAAGGACATTGGATGGGCCCAGATAGCTCTGACCACAGCCCAACAAATGTTCTAGAGTGGCAATGAAGCTGAAGCAGGGAACTGAATGTGGGGTTTATTATTTTTGTACCAATCTGTGTATTTTTCATGCTTTTAAAGAAAGATCAATAGTGTGCTAGAATACTGTGCACAGTGTCTGTACATTTCATGTGTTACACCTTCCATTTGGCCCTTTGAGGAGCTAAACCAGAAGGCTCACACCTTCAGGTGGAGATCTGAGAAACGGTGTGTTTAAGCTATTGGGGTAGTATCACAATCCTGGAGGAAATCCAGACTAGTGAGGGGCTGTCACCACCTGCCCTGCAGCTTTGGGTGCCTCACAATGCTTTGGTGCTGTACACCCAAACTGGTCCCCTCAGAAACAACCTGCAGGTCACATCCTAAGTATCTGCATATATTGGAGCTTGCCGTCAACACTCTGTCTTCCATCCACATTGGTTATCACTTGCATGTTGATCCCAACACACTCCCAGCCCCAGATTTTTCCTCAAAACGTGTGTTCTCCTGGACAGTCCAGATCTTAGACATCTGTTGCCCCCTGTAAAAGGTCAATATATCTAGAGTAGAATAGTATATAGAAATTCTATGGCTCTAGAAAATACAGATTTTCCAGTTTAATCTTTACACAAGGTAAATATGAAACTAACTTATCTGAAAAAATGTAGTTTTCCTAAAGTTATTTGATAGAATAGTTAGCATGTCTGCAGAAAAAATCTGAGGAAAGTAGGGGATGCAAATGATAATAGAGAGAAAAGGATGGAGGACAGGAAGAGAAGAGAGGGAACAGGGAAAAGAATTTTATGTGTGATGTGAAAAAATGGGATTTAAGGAAAACAGGGTATTTCAAAGACCAAACAAATTCCTTTTTTGTACCCTAAGTAAGAGACTGAAGTAGCTTGGGAACTGTTGACATAGGTGCCCATGGAGAGGAAAAAGGCAGAAGTTCAAAGAATTAGTGCTTGTGGCAAATTAATTCTTCAATATTTATGAGCTGTCTCTCTATCTGCTCTATCACTGAGTAATATCTTTAAAAGAGCTGTAGTAAAAAATGCAAAACAGCACGACATTAAATTTAATAACCAGTTTCTTGATGAACTTTTATACTATTCAGTAACCATCTGTACCTTTTTGGAAAGTTACGTACATATATTTAGGAATTAATTTTTTCTTTTTAACTTACTGTGTAGATTGCAAGAAAGAAAAGAAATGTGAAAAACGAAGAAATGTAAAACAGCATAGTACAAATATTCTATAGTAACTAATGATTTTAGGTGCCTCTGTTTCTTGGTTGCTCAATCTGAGACACTTTAAAGGGGCCTCATGTCCCTAAAATTTTGAAAAATCAGGCTACTTTAATTTCCCATAACTTTTGATTGTTATGGAGCTTGAATGGCAGATTGATAAGGACCTGTACTATGGATTCATAGGTCTGTGTTGAAACAAAAAACATCTTCCTAGGGTGATACAGAATTAGAATAAGGTTACCGCTATGTGATAAGACTTATTTATTGTGTTTTGATTTATTACCATTTGGTAATTTTTTTCATGATAAATTGATTCCCATAGGCCCTGATTCAGGAAAGCAGTTAAGCATGTGCTTAAGTCCATCCCTATTCAGGAGTGATCTTAAGCATGAGTTAAGTACTTTCTGAATACCTAGCTCTTATAACACACTTTTTGTCAGCAGATCTCAAAGAGCTTTATAAAGCCGGTAAGAATCATTATCCCCATTTTACAGATGGGGAAATTGAGACACAGGGTACTAAAGTGACGTACCCAAGGTCACCCAGAAGGCCAGTGGCAGAATTGGGAATAGAACCCAGGTCTCCTGAGTCCCAGTCCAATGCTCTGTTCACTAGGCACCAGCATGTCCCACATGCTCTCTTGAACTGGGTTGTAAACACCTTGTAAACACTTTTATTTTACCCCCTTTATTTTACCCTCTAATTTCTTATTTTTAATTTTAATTTTGATTAATAAAACATACATGTATAATATAGTCTGGTCTGTTCTTCAGCTAAGCAAGTGAAAGTTCACTGAATACATAAGACATATGGTATGGGAAACTGGTTAATTAAAATAACTTAACCAATGTGTCTCAGGCCCCCCAATTCTGCTAAGAATTCTAGACATTGTTAATTTTGTGCATGTGAGTTGTCCCCACTGAAGTCAATAGAACTATTCACATGGGTAAGTTTGACAGAACTGGGCCCTTTTACTGTATCTACCCTACTGTTCTCACAAACCATTCACTATCCGGTTATATTGAATCAAAATATATTCATGCATCAAATAAGATGTGTGTTGATATGTTTCTAAGTAAAGCCGGTTGAAATTTTTGGTCAACAAATCTTCCCATCAGAAAGTGTGGTTTGACGTTTTCCCATTACGTTTTTCATTTCCAGATGGGAAAATCAGAACAAGATACAATATTTTGGGTTCTGAAAACCAAATTGAAATGACATTTTAAGCTGAAATTAAATTTAAATGATTGTTTATTTTCCGACCAAAAATATTTTTTCATTTCATTTCTAATTGTTCTGAAGAAACCCATAATTTTCTGACATGAAATTTCTGGTTTCCCAACCAGCTTGATAGCCTTGGAGTCTGCGGTACTTACATTGACTATATAACCTCTACTGACAAAACTAACAACTTGAACTACTCTCTTCATTTAAAATATTAATAATCTATACTAGCTTTCTTGTAATTCAGCTACCCTGGTGCATCAGCATGGAAAGTATGTTTAATGGCTTAACTCTGAAATGTCATGCTGGCTTCTAGGAAAGATATATTTAATCTCCCTTGTGCATCAGCAGGTACTGCAACTCATTATCTACAAAATTCCACATTAAATTGTTTTTCTTTTTGTACATTAGCATTGCTTTCATTTAAAAGTAATTTCTTAATTTAGGGAATACTTACCATAAATATAGAGCTGGTTAGTATGTTAACAAGATCAGGAAAAAATGATGATGTAACCAAAAGGAGATCCTTTTCCTTAGGTTTTCCTGAAGTTAATAAAACATAGGATTACTCTGTATGGAAGAGCTATGGAAAATCCTAACAGTATTCAGTGTCCCAGAGAGAAGTCAGTGAACATTATAAGGAAGTCCTATCACTGGAGTCAGGGAACAAAATCAGATTAGTGTGAAAATAAAAGGTAACACATTGCAAGGATGCAATCTGTTCACCTCTTCTTCAGTCCAGGGTGTGATTTAAATGCGAAGGCAGGAAGAGGAAAGAGAAGGATTTAAAGTGATAACCAAAATATTGGAATATCCTTCTAGGTCAGCGTTTCCCAAACTTTTTTGGCCACGGAACACTTATAATATTATTTTGTAGTCGTTTGGTTTTCAAATAAAAAAATTGTGTTATTTATGCTCAAATATATTTTATTTTATAAAACAAAGCAAAAATACAAATTTAAAAACTTGAACTAACAATTTCTAACTGGAAAGTGCGTATAAAGTAGTACAAAAATCAAGTGCAAGAGTCAAAATTAAAAACAGTGTTCTACTTAAAAAAAACTTTATATATACACAAACACCAAACAAATTAGATTTTTACTAGGAAAATCTATTTTTATAAACAGAAATACAAATTTGGATTTAATGGGATTGGTGTTTCTGCATTTTTCTATCACAAATTCGCTTAATATTAGGAATAATCCTGGAAAGTTGAATCCTCATGTCAGGCGCAGCATCAAGTCTATTCCTATATTTGGTTTTTGTTGCAGTATAATACGAAAATCCTGTCTCACAGAAATAAGTTGTAGCAAAAGGAAGGAGCACTCGAACTGCACGTTTAGCCACATTAGGGTACTCTTCTATTAGGCTGCTCCAAAAATTATTCAGCGGAAGATCCTTAAACTTTTGTTTCAAATCAGAGTCAGAAATTAAGTCAATTAGGCTTTCATAATCGTGCGCAGTAAAGCCGACTGGTTTGGCTGTAATTACAAATGGATTTCGAACCCAAGCATTATCATCAGTAGTTGTAGGAAAGTATTCTAATAAAGAGGTCTGCAAGTCACGTAAGTGCTGTAAAATGGTGCTGGAAACTTCTTCATGGACTGTAGAATTTATTTCAGTCAGAAATTCATGTACTGTAGGGAAGCAGTCGAAGTTATTCTGTTCTACAGAAGATGCCCCGAATTCCAGTTTCTTTTTTAATGACGAAATTTTATCCATTGTGGTAAAAATGGTCACATTCTTTCCTTGCAGCGACAGATTAATTTCATTTAATTTTGCAAAAATATCTGCAAGATACTGTAGTGGAAAAATTGCCCAGGCCTAAACTTTGATTGTCTCAGGCCTGAACTTTGGTTCAGACCTGAGCATTAGTCAAGTTAATTGGAAGAAGGGTTTTTTTGAGAAAGGGGGTTTTTGAAGGCAGGGTGAAGGAAAAGTACAAAAGCAGAACTATCTATAATCACAAGGCTTATGATTCATAACTCCCCACTGCTAGTGTTAGGGGAAGCTTGTAACCGAAAAGGGCAACCTGCAAAAAACAGGAAAGCTGGCTGTGCTGTTTTCCCTTTTATGGAAAATGTATTCCAATTATGGCAATAATGTTAACAAGGAAGTGTGTATTACTAATTAATTGGTTTTTTGCTATAAAAGCTGTTGAAAAATCTGTATTCGGGGGGACTGCCAGTTCGCTGGTAACCCCCCTTGCATGCTTGTAAATAAAGGGACCTCAGGCGATTCTGATCCAAACACAACGCGTGGTCGTTTTTTCCACAACAATACGCAAGTCTCATTAGCCATGAGGAATTTGTCAGACAGTCATTAAATTTTCGTCCTGAATTACCTGAAGTAAAGAATACCAGTAGTTCACTCTGAAGCTCAAAAAGCCTCACAAGCACTTTTCCTCTGGATAGCCATCTCACTTCCGTATGTAAAAGAAGCGCTTTGTGCTGACTACCCATTTCCTCACACAAAATTTTAAATAACCTGGATTGAAGTGGTCGAGATTTGACAAAATTGATAATTTGTACTGCTTCATCGAGCACAATTTTCAGATATGCTGGTATTTTTTTAAGTGCAAGTGCTTGTCTGTGTAGAACACAATGGCTCTTAGGGCTTTCTGGTGCCACACTTATGATTCGCGTTACAGTTCCCTTCATCTTCCCGATCATTGCCCGAGCATCGTCAGTACATACATCAATACATTTTCCCCAACTAATTTCATGCTTTCTGATAAAATTGTTGATGCAGTTGAATATTTCTTCTCCAGTTGTGTTGCTTTGCAGAGATTCACATAAGAGCAGGTCCTCTTCAATAATATCATTAAATCTATATCTTACAAATACTAGTAGCACAGCAAGTCCTGAAACGTCAGTGGACTCATCTAGCTTCAATGAATATTCATGGCAAATTTTCAGTCGGCAAACTAGCTCTTTTTCTATGTCATTGGCAAGATCTTTAATACGGCGTGCAACAGTATTATTTGACAACTGTACAGCATCAATTTTTTTACCAGACTGCTCGCTCAACATGCATGTTACAATATCTTTCGTGCAAGGCTTGATAAGCATTTCTCCAATAGTGTGAGCTTCTCCGGCAAGCGCTATACGGTAACTTACTCGATAAGATGCCTCTGTTGCACTTTTGTTGTCTGTTTTAGCAATTTTAATCATCGAAAGTTTACAATTTCCAAGTGAGTCACGCTTCCTCTTGAAAAAACTTATATCTTTGTCTTTGTATTCAGCATGCTTGGTTTCCAAATGTCTACGAAGTTTAGCAGGAGCCAATGAACTGTTTGCTAGTATTTTGTTGCACTTGACGCACTGCGCATCAGGAACATCTTTATTTCCAACACACGTAAAACTGAAAGACAAATAACTTCCATCATACTTTCGTTTCGGTCTTTTAACACCTGCTGCTTCTTGTTTTTTGATATACTTCAGTGGAAATTCTTTCACCTTGGATAATTCACTAGTACTAACAGATTTTTCGGCAACAAAAGACTGTGATTGTTCATCCTCACTTTAAAGTGTCTCAATATTTTGCTCGTTTATTTCGGCCACAGTTAGAGTACCAGAAGAACTTGCTTTTTGTTTCAAAGTTCCTTCTTTTAGCCACAAATCCATGGTGATTAGGTTTAGTAACAATATTTAGAAATACTGATTTTTGTCAATTTTTTTTTGTCACAAATATTTATATTGTTTCGAGGGAAGCTAGTTTAGTTGTGCTTATCGCACACACGGTAAAGACCCACAGGTTTGAACGTGTTGAGTGAATATTCAACATGGCGTAAAGAGAATGGTGTGTGCATACCGCTGCAGTTCGCGCAGCCTCAAGCGGAAGGGGTATGACGTCACTAACTGAAACGTGCCCAAAAGGGGTAGACGTCAGCATGCTGCGTGCCCTGTTCTCTTTACGCCATGATATTCAATACGAGATCTATCAATAACCGGAAAAAGAGTTTTATGTTAAATTATAGTCATTCAAAAAGAGTCGTAAACTACGCTTCAAATATGCCAAATTTAAAATTAAAAGAAATTTAAAGACCCTTTTTAAAAATTATGATTCTTTTATGGAACACCTATTCACATCGTGCGGAACACCAGTGTTCCACGGAACACAGTTTGGGAAACGCTGTTCTAGGTATTTATGATCCACCGGTCAGTTCAGTATGTATCTAAATGCAAACAAAAATTATGGGCCTGGCTTAGAGCCCTTTGAAATCAATGATAGTTCCATTGATTCCAGTCAGAGCCCAAATGAGCTGACAAGTAGACATTGGCCAACATTTTCAAAATTCAGAATTAGGCTTCTAAATCTATTCCTAGAAATAGACATAAGTCGCCTGATTTTTCAAAAGTGCAAAGTACTGAGTAGCTTGAACAGGCCCCTTTGGTCAATATCCAGTCTTGAAAATCTTGGCTCTAATGAATTCAATATGAACAGATTTATGCACAAAATAAGCCGGCACCAGTCATCATTTTTCTCTCTGCCTCCTTTTTAATTTTTTTAAATTTATGCTTCTATGTTTCTTTAATAAGGGGGAACCAAAACTACTTAGGGTGCCAGAACAAACAATCTCTCCCCCACCATGAAAAAAAACAATGGTATGTCAATGCATTCCTAGGGTTGCACAGTTAAAATCAGAAAGATGGCTTCACAGCACAGTGAAAGATTGAAGAGAAAGTGCATGTAAGTGTGTGACCCAGAGGCACTTGAGTAAGAAGCTTATTACCAAACCAACAGAGTGAATTCCAGTGATGCAAAACTAATTATATGTGGGAAAGCTATTAGCAAATTGCAGCTGCAGACATGACACCACTCAAACCCTGGAAGAAATCTTCTTGCAGGGTTATGAAGAGAAATGAGTTGAGTATTGCTGCCTTGGATAAACACGCACAAAGATTTTTCTTAATATACTAATATATTTTGACTTACTCTGATCCCTTCAGTATAGAAAAAGTGACATTTAAACTATTTTTGAACAGCAACATGTAGTCTCCTAACAGTTTTTTCCTGAGTACAATATCATTTTTCAGCACTGGGTTTCACTCTACCAGTCTGGAGGTAATAAATAGTAGGCCTCTCAGATTTTTTTTTTTTTTTTTTTTTTGGTAAGTTCTCACACCTAAATAATTTTCCTTTTGGGAATTCTGTTCAAGCTTCCCTAGCATCTCTTTGATACAGCCACCATCATTTGGTTACAGAACATGGACATTGAGCTCTGATGACTGCATACAAGAAAGAGACTGAGGTAAAAACAGAATCATGTGGGATGCTGCAGAATTGTAGCTATCAAGCAGCCTGTTTCCATAAAAATCTTTCCTGTGAGGTTGGGGGCAGCCGTGCAGTTACTGGACAGCTCTTCCAGAGATTCAGGAAGTGAGAGAGGCCCAGCTGGCTGTCTCCCAAGATATTTGTGGGAGAGAATGCAGGCAACCAGCCATTCTCAAAAAGACTGCCAGGAAGGGGAATATGAATTCACATGGAAGCTCTGTTAGGCTCTTTCCAATACTTTCTGTTTCCATAGTGCTTGTGGGGAGTATGTTCCCTTCTGAGCTGTGGCATCTTCAGTATTGTGGTATATTGAAAACTATTAAAAATATGATATCACTTTAAATTATCAGGGGCTTTTCTAGTCCAGCTTGCAGGCTGGAGTGCTCTATGGGGAAGCGTGTAATCCGAGTCTAGCAGCAGTCAATCTGCAGCCAGCCAGCTTACCCTAAGGTGGGGTGAGTTGTGCTTCTCTGTTTTAGAGAGCAGCCTGCTTTGTCTCTTTCTGTTTGGGGGTTCTTGTGTTATCATTCTGGAGTCTAAGAAATAAAGTAGTGTTACATTACAACCTTCCAAACAGAGTATTCATGATTTTTATCTAACTTTGCTGAGTGTATGCCACGAATATAACAAATATTGTCTCATTTCTCACACCATAACTGCCAGTTCTCGCATCTTCTTGTTATCATATTGCCAAAGCCATCATTCCATACCAATTTCCCACTGCCCAAATACATACATTTTCACAATCTCTTTTACAATGAATATTCATTCATTTGTAAGCAGAGTCAGGATGAGCTCTACCCTGACATCTGGTGGTGAATTATGGTGAGGGTGGAAAAGAACTTCAGGGGCTGATCTTGTTTGCATAGGCACACCCACCCGCCTAGCCTGGACAACAACAACTGAAAGTGGTTACTTTGGCTGGTGTGGGATCCCCGGTTTCTCTGTTATTGGGGCAGGAAGAATAAAGTGTTGTTACCCTGATTCTGTGAATCAAGGCCAGTGGAACTGTTGTATGACAGAGGGACTCACCAGTAACTAAGTAGCACTCGCTAGACAAGGGGCATAGGTTACAAAACCCAGTGAATTGAGAGAGGTTGGGCACAGGTATGTGTACCTGATGGTATGGGCCCCTTTTGAGGGCCTGGAACACCAATTGCACTATCACCCTCTCTCCACTGTTGAATAACAGAGCTAAGTTTGCTTCCATTAGGAGTCTAGCTAGAAGTTGCTGAGCTGAATTCACTTTGGACCAATGGTGCACCAGCACCGGGGCTCCCCTACTACAAGCTGAAATCAGTAAGAGCTGAAATCACTAAAAGAGCTAAAATTGCTGAGCTGAGATCACTGAGTGCTGTGTTAACTAGTGGGGGAGCCTGAAGAAATATTGCTAAGCAGCTGGCGGAGCTGAGCAGTTTGTGGGACGATTGGAGCGGCCCACGGAACAGCGAGCGGAGCGGAGCTGAGCCGTTTGCAGGAGCAGCTGGAGCGGTTCATGGGACAGCTGGTGGAGTGGAGCGGCTGGCAGAGCAGTTTGTGTGACGGTTGGAGCGGCCCACGGAACGGGGAGCAGTTTGCGGGGAGGCTGGTAGAGCGGAGCCATTCGTGGTAAAGGCTGCAGCAGAACTCCACGGAGAGGTGGGGTTTTTGGCCTTGGACCACGTAAGGTGCCCCTTAACACCCCGTGTGCTCCCCCTTTCCGCCCAGGCTGGGGGTGGGGGGTGGTAAAACTCTGCAGATAAACTTTTGAACTCTGGGGCGGCACTGACCCAGGGACAGAGACTTTGGGGTTGTTGGACTTTGGGGTGATTGGACTTAAGACCCTGAGGGGAAAAGGACACTGCCAAACTTACTTGGAGGTGGGTCTTTTGCTCATGGTTTGTGTTATGAATCCTGTTTGTGGTGTTTCCCCAACATAATGCCGCATTGTTTCCCTCCTTTATTAAAAGGCTTTTGCTACACGCAGACTCCGTGCTTGCGAGAGGGGAAGTATTGCCTCCTAGAGGCACCCGGGGGGGTGGTAGGTAATTGTCCCAGGTCACTGGGTGGGGGCTTGAGCCGGTTTTGCATTGCGTTATTGAAACGGAACCCCTAGATACTGAACCCGGCCCTTGTTGCTGCCAACTTAGAGGGGCAGAAGGGTTACACATTTAATACTACACACTTGCTGCCAAATATCCTTGGAGAATGTGAAGTACTAAAGATAACATAAAGCAATGACAAGTGGCAAGAATATTGCCTTTTCCTACATAACTCTGAAGGGGTGTGGGTGGGGGTGCGCGCGCCTGCTTTCCATGGATTGAAATGAAAAGATGCCAGCCAACTGCCATGGAGGGTCAGCCAAGCAACATGCATCCTCTGCGTTCCCACTAAAAATCTCTGATTCAGAACAAATCACTTGTCCTGCTAATTCATATTCAAAACATGTTTCTACTTTGACAGAGCTTTGCAAAGAGAATCTGAGACAAGTTTGCAAATCAACCCTCTTTGGTGTCTTGCAATAAAGCAGCAAATTGCCTAATCTCTTAGAATATAGCAGCTACCATTTTGCTTTTATATTAGATTAAGGAAAGTGAATTCTAACACTTGAAACAGATCGTACAAACCCATATAGCTCTATCTAGGTACCTATATGGCCTGCATCCCTGGAGGCCTGTCTTGCCCTCTATGTATGTTTCCCATCTGTTCAATTGTCTCTGGACATAATCCAGATGCCCCTTCCCTGTAAGATGGCAGAGGAGAGCAAAAGCAGTAGGAAATCAGGCAGAGGCAGGGGTAGAAATAAAACTGGAATGCCTCAGTGACCCACAATTGTTTCCTTGTGTGTGAATTGCTCCAGAACTCAGACTTTCCTCTGCTGCTCAGTCATCCACAGGCCAGTCAGAGATAGGTGAAGGACATCATGTTTTTGGAACCTGCCTTTTCCCCCATGGCAGCAGGAGCTCCTGCAAGCACCCCTGAACCTGTGGTATCCACGGACTATGGAGCAGTATTTATGGCTAATACTTTATAGATTTCCCAAGCTGCACTATCTGCAGCACTTTGAGAAACCTCTCCCCCTTGACGTGAGGGAAAGACAACTCATGAGGCTTTCATCTTCTAGAAGTTACCAGTTAACCTGTTCCCTTCTCATGGGTTTCACATAAGATGAGGAGCTCAGGCCCACTGGCAGGACAGTATCAGGTTCAGCCTTTTTAGGGGAAAAAAAGCCCATATTATCGTTGTTTCCCTGCTAGATGCATTTAGCTAGGACTTACGAAGCTATCATAGTGACACAAGTCTTTCTACACTCACTCATAGTGGCCTTCTTGTTTTAAAATAGTCTCCTTCCCAAATCCATCCATTCCTTTTCATGATATTCTAAGCATTCAGTCAAATGCTTTGAACTACAAACCCAGTGGTTGCAGGGAAAAGCTTGAAATTGTGACCTAAGTGTACCCTGAAGGCTCAAAAAACAAGAAGACAAATTAAAACAACCCAAAACTTACTTGTTTGGCTAAACATTATGAACAAAATGTAATCTCATGACATCATGGGCCTGATTTTTTTTTTTATCCTCTGGGGTTAACAGAAATTGAAACCACATGAAATAGGTTTACGAAATATGGGTTTCATCTTTCTGAGCTTTTTCTATGAGTGTTGAAT